CAGAATTCTAGCTGGCTGAGGAATTCTGGGAGTTGAAGTCCACATATTTTAAAGTTGCTGACGCTGAGAAACACTGATATAAAAAAAGGGCGTACTATGATCTTTATTATGATCACTGCCCAAAACAAAAAGAGAAGCACCTCTCCAGTCCTAGGGGAAAAGATGGGACAAGGGGAATGAACAAAGGACAGGTAAAAAAAAATCAAGATGGCCACCATGGCCGCATAAGGACCTTCTCCTTTTTACCTCTCTTCATCGACCCAGCCTAATAGCCGATACTCTGGATTCTCTGAATCAGGAAAGGAAATCTTCCTCACCAGGAATTTCTCAATTCGCCACCCTGTCCATCCAGAAGCTAGTTTTAGGACTGCATTGAAAATTCATATTTGTTAAGGCCTTTTAGGCTTTTGTCCTCATTTTAGGGCAGATTATGCAGTTGTGGACTGTTTGGTACACAGACACACAGACGCAATACATGTGAATGAAGAAACAAAACTCAGGCAGGTAGGTTGCCAAGGAAATGCCAAATGCTGGCAAGACTCACCAGGCATTGCTGTCTTGGAGTCCCTGTGGTTCTTTTCCAGGACTCCATGGGCGTGAATGGAGTAAGGCTGCGTGGCATTGTTCCTAAAAACTATGTTCAACACATCTCCCACTTCTGCCCAAATAAAGGGACCTGGAAGGGGGGAGGATAAAGGAAAAGAACAGTGGCTGGGGGTTTGCAAAACTCCAAAGTGGGGCTTCTTCTGGTGAACAGCAAAGTGTAGCCCCCTCCAAGCAGCTTCCTAGAGAGAAAGAGCCAGCGCTTTGCTTAGCTCCACTGGACCCCATGGCTTCCTGACCTGCTCAGGGCATCAGTTTACTCTCCAAAGCACCTGAAGGCAGGGCAGGAAGCAAGAGGTGGATGCTTGTCAACCTGGAATTAAGGAGAAAATTAGGGAAAACCATGAATCAATGGAACAGTTTGCTTCTCGGTGTTGTGGATGTTCCATCCCTGGAGGTTTTCAAGAAAAGATTGGACAACCGTTTGTCCAGAATGGAGTAAGGACTCCTGGCTTGGGCAGGGGGTTGGACTAGATGACCTCCAAGGTCCCTTGCAGCCCTTCCTTCCCAGGCTTTGATGAGCTGTGCCAGAGAAGCCAGAAAGACCTGTTGTCCATCACACTTTCCCCAAAGCTTGCGGGGACGTCTCCAAAGAATCCAATGCGCTGACCCAAAATGGTGCCATGGATGCTTCTCTGCCCACTCCCGACACGCTTAACCCAGGGCACGTGGCCAATGCAGAAGCTCTTTGGGTTTTGGAAAGGGAGGGGGGAGGGGAGGGAAAGCAGAGGGAAGCTTTGAAATAAGCTGAGGTGCTTTCTCAGTGCAAACATGGGGGACCCTTTACAGGTAGTCCTTGGCTTATAACAGCAATTGGGATTGGAACTTCTGTCACAAAGACGGTCCAATTCGGAAAGGGTGCCCCAAGATGCCCCAAGAACGGGCACGGCAGAGATGCGGGGCGGGGGCAGGGGGGAGATACTACTTACCCCAGTGACCGGGGACCTTTGGTGTTGGCCTCCACTTTCACTTTCTTGGGAAAGCCAGAAGGGAAGATTGCAAATAGCCATTGTGGGATTGTGGGGGCGCTGCAGTCGGCCAGAAGTGCAAACCGGCTGCCGAGGGTCCAGACCCCAGTCATGGGACTGCAGGGCTCCTGGAAGCACAATTGGTTTCACGCCGTCGTTAACTTTTGACGGCTGTTGAATGGTCAACAGGCCAAGGACTATCTTGAACATACGCACACACACCCCATCCAAATTATCCCCCCCACACACAAAGAGCCAATTGGAGTTGCCCAGGGCAGGAGTCCTTATTCCATCCTGGACAAATGGTTGTTCATCTTATCCATATTCCAAAGAGCATCTTCATTTCTGGGATGGAAATCTCTTGGATGAGAAGCTGCAAAGATTATCAGGAGTGTATGAAAAAAAAAATGCACCTTTGAGAATAATTTACAGATAGAGTTTAAAATTCTACTAACTGAAATGAAAGTCACACCTGAAAGTTTCAGTGGGTTACCTAATATCCCCAGATGTTGCTCAGCATCCGTTCTGTTCTTTGGCGTCTGGAATGTCCCGTCTGTGTATTCCCTATAAACAGCTTTCTTGTACCGGGAGCCCAGTCGTCCATTCTCATGGTTGAGAAATATGTCACCATACCTGTGAATTTCAAAATTCCTTTTTGCCTGAAAGAGGCATGGCTAAGCACAAATGAACAACATGCAATAGTGTGGCCCAAAAAAGCAGTAAAAAACAGAGATACTACAAAGAGCGAGGGATGAACCCATAAAATACAAAGAGAAAGAAACAGGAGTTCTAAAACAGATTCCCAGAAGAGCAAGAGAGATTCAAAAGCGTTGAGACTCTAGAAAAGAGTGCGGAGAAGAACAATAATGAGGATTAGGGAACCGAAAGCTAAAACACAGGAATCGGGGATGGTTAGGGGAAAAAAAAAAAAGAAAGACTAGGGGTGACATGATAGCAGTGTTCCAATACTTGAGGGGCTGCCACGAAGAAGAGGAGGGTCAACCAAAGCACTGGAAGGCAGGACATGCAACGGATGGAAACTAATTCAGGAGAAAAGCAACCTACAACTTAAGGAGAAATTTCCTTAACAGTGAGAACAATCAATCCGTGAAAAAAGCTGCTTCCAGAAATTGTGGGCACTCCATCGCTGGAGGCTTTTAAGAAGAGATCGGATGGCCATTTCTCTGAAATGGGTACAGGGTCTCCTAGACGAGAAAACCCCCAAGATCCCTTCCTGTTATTTGGTTAGAACCACCAGACAATTCTCTGAGCTGTCAATAAGCTTTAGCTGACACTCAGGCAAAAATTAGTCCTCCGGTAACTGAGCCTCTTCCAGCGTGAGACAACAGAGAACAGCCCGTTGCCCCCTTCTACGGAAAGTCCTTCAGCTCCTCACTGGCTCTTCTTCTCAAGACCCATTTTCTCCTCATCCCACTAACCAGCTTCCTTACCTTCCTCAGGATCGTTCCCCGTTGGCCTACCTCTCTTTCAAAATTCTGGTTTGTAAGTCTAATTGATTTAAACCTCTTTCAAGGGAATTCCCCCCAAAACATGTTTTTGCAAGAAGGGTAGGAAAAACATGACTGACTTGCATCCCATTTCCCGCAAACAAAATATTTCGGAAGCAGCCCCCGATACCTTTCCTCTCCGGAGCTGTTGTGCCTTTCCGACTCCCAGCTGCGGTCTGGGGCATAGTCCCACTCCATCTCCTCTGCCATGATGTAAAAGGTCCTCACTGTCCCATACTGTCGGCCTGGAAAATAGGCCTCTTCTCCACACTGCCGAACAGAGTAACGGCCTCTCATCCCGTTCTGATAGTGGTTGCTGGTCTGACAGTACACACCGAAAGTGCCTAGGAGGAGGCAAACGAAGCTACTGAGAAGATGCCCGGGATCTCAGGATGCGAGCAAAGCCACCCTGGAAGCTTCTCTACCAACTTTGAGAAAGGCAGATCTAAGTTCTCTCAGATCTAGCAACAGGCCAACATTTTTAAACACCACATGCGTGCATCTTCTGACTTTAAATAGAAAAAGATGCTTAAACTTTCCCCGGGATTGAGGAGTGGGCTTTTTGTTAACTTCTGAGACACCAGTGGTTGCCATCCTTGGAGAGTTCTCAAGGCGGCTTTGCAATGACAGGGTAGTAGTTAAGCTGTTGGATCGCTACTCCAAAAACTTCAGTAAAAGTCTTCTCCCGATTATGGAGCTCACTTGGTAGACCCGGGCATTTGCTCAGCTCAACCTACAATGTCAACTTCCTCCTTTCCCTTGTACATTTCCTCGAATCCCTAGACGCAAAGGAAGGCAGACCATCTCTAAATAGGTGAATAAAATAGTATCCATGGGCTGCAGGTGCTACGCCATTTGCCTTCATCTTAAACTCAGTACGGAAGGGAGCTAAGATCAGATCTGGCGAATTCTAGACCCTCTGGAAAGCCCAGCCAGTCCGGCCAAAAGTGACGGACAATATGGGGACCTGTGGTTCCAAATGCTGTGACGGGCCAAGTTTCTCAGAGGAAAGAGAGGGCACAGAGTTAAGCCTTTACCTTGGTTATCGGGCTGCATGAGGGCTGTGGCAAAGGTGTGAGGGAAGAGACTGGCTGTATCTCGCCTCATCCCGTTCATCAAGATGGTGTTTCCTTGGAAAACAACCCCATGAACGTCGGTTTCACTGCCAAAACCCAGCAGGTGCCAGGAAATGGTATCTCCCTTGCACGTATCCAGGAGAGGCAAATTTCCAAAGAGGAATCCGTTGATGGCTTCAAGGCAAAAGAAAACAGGGGAAAAATCAGCAGGAGGCTCAGTTTTCAGAGGACGTTTCACCCAGCGATAATTTGGGAACGCTCGAACTGAGTAGAAAGCAGGATTCAAAATCCAGAAATCAAAAACTGAGAAAAAGAGGGGAGGGGAGAGGATTACCAAATGCCTGGGCTGTGCCCCCCCAGCAAGAGCCTCAGCGGTGCTTTTCTCAAAGGGCAACTGGAAGAAGAAGTAGTTTCACTTCTCGTCCAAGAAGCTTCACCGGTTCTGGCAGGATGGTGGGGGCAACAGAAGGATGGTGGGGGTGATAGAAGGCAAACGGCCGGCCGTGCGGCTGTTTGCCTGCTGCTCCCCTTCCCGCCTTTTTCCCTGGGGGCTTTGCCTGTTTACTTTTGCTTTGCAAATGTTTGCCCATGGATGCCTCCACAGCCTTCCCCCACTCCCTTCTTTTGATACCAACGCAGATCCATCTCTTTTCCTTTTTCCCTTTATGGCTCTGATGCTGCCATAATCGAAGCGGTGGTTCTTCCTGCCGTCCTCTCCAAATCCAGGGTAACTTGCTGGTAGCAGGGAAGAATCAATAGCTCAGCTTCTCAGAAGTAAAGCAGCAGGTCTTCTACATGGCAACTCAAAGATGTCAAAATAAAAACAAGGGAGTGGCTGTGGGCATGGGGTGGTATGCTTTGCCCAGTCTGGGCAGAAGCTGAAAGGATGCCCGCTGGGAGACGGAGCAAATGCCAGTGAGGATACTTCATTGGCTTAATGGGCCATTGCTGGATCCACACGAAGATATTTTAAAATGGCAACTGCTGACCAGCCTAAAACACAGGAGATCAGCAGCCCAGAATAAAAGGACTGTCCAGGCAGCAGCTGCAGGAGGGGAGGGACATAGAGTTGAGGCTGCTGCTGGCCTGGAACACAGCACTGGAGAACATCTGAAGGGATCTAAGACTCCTAACTCAAAGCAGAAAGCCCCCCTGGAGTTCTACAGAAATTCATCCAAGCAAGGAAATGTATAAATCATATCTGGATTTCACTGCTGTAAGATGAAAACTTAAGCAATAATTGAGAAACCGAAAAGTGAGAAAAACCAGGGTTCCTAAATTTGCGACCTCCATACACTGGATTTTAATTCCTATAATTTTCAGTCAAGGTGGGCATTAGTGATGCTGGCGAGCAAGGATAGAAATCAGGTCAAGCATAACAGAAAGAGGAGAGGAAGTCTACTGCTGACTACGATCTCTATGAATTGTCCACGTTTGCCTTTAATTTGCAGATTGTCATTGTACAAGCAATAATGGAGAGAGCTGTTGCTTTCAAGCTTTTCTTTGAAGGCTGTCCTGAAACTTTTCCTCAAGAAAAAGGACGAAGTCAAACCTATGTAAACAACCATGCGTTGTCAATTTGTTCAAATATTTGCTTCCACCCTTACAAATCTGAGTTGCTATAATTAATAGCTGAGGATTATGAGCCTGTTTGATGAGTCAGACTTTGAACTGGAAGAAAATCGGGCTTCAGAATTCTGCTCTTGCCTTTTGGTACCCAGCAAGTAGATCATAGATATGAAATGTGGCTCCTCAAAGAGGCAGGAGAACAGCCATGCCCTAGTCGTGCTATAAACTAAGGGGTTGAGAGTTTGAGTTGGCAAACAATTTTCAGGCAAGTCTTACTCAGTGGGTGCTACTTCTTGCTGATCTTTCATACAGAAGAACCACACTCAGCTCTGATTCTTGGATTTGTCTATATGGAAGTTTATTTTACTTTGTTTATATCCCATCTTTATTGTTTTTATAGCTCAAGATGAACATATATATTACTCCCTCCTTTTCCCCACAATAACAGGTGGGCTGGGCTGTGAGGCCGTGACTTGGCCAAAGTCAGCCAGTTGGCTTTTTATGCCAAGGCAGGACTAGAACTCACCGTCTCCTGGTTCCTAGCCTAACCAAACTTTGGCTTCTGCAGTGACCTTGGTCTGTTTCCTGAGATCTCACATCCCTGAGCTGCGGTAAGAAACTGAGCTGCCACAAGACCTCCAACCTCCTCTCCTGAATTGGCTGATCTTGGCTTTCCAACCCCCAGATTGGGTACATCGACATACCATGCATTCTATTGGACTCTTTGAAGATGTGATCCTCAAACAGTTCTTCTTTCCCCAATGTGTATTTCAGATACTTCCGATTTGTGTTCAGATACCAGCTTAGGTTTTCATTAAACACACCAAACAAAAGGTAAAACTCTTTATCAATGCCTTTCTAGGAAACAACACAGAGAATATCAGGTTTGGAATCTCATTTGATAACCGAAGAGATAGTCTACTTTGCTATTTCAACTAGCTCGGTGGAGAGAGAGAATTTCTTTTGTAGCTTGGAGTTATAAAGAGGTGAGAGATAGCAAAACATCTGGGAATAAAATATGAGGAACTATTAAAACAACAGGACAATTTCCATGGGACAAGTTGTGTAGCAAAGTCCTATTAACTTCTACGGTGAGAACAGAAAGGTAGTAAAAGATAATGATTTTTTTATTGTGTTTTTGTTTAATTTTGTTTTCTTGAAGAACCAAACTGTGCTTCATAAGAACTGTATAAAAAGCAGTGGGTGTATTTTTCCTCTACCCCGCCACCTTTATTGGCTCAAATAAAGCCTCCTAATATCTACTCTGGTCTGTGATATTGGTTTTGCACACCCGGTCCAGCAAGCCTGCTTGGGACAACCATTTACTAATCATCAGCTAATCCACACACAAAAAAGTGGAATAAAATCAGGGAATATAAAATTACTTTGTGTCACAAAGCTATAATGGGGATGTTGGTAGAAAGGCAAGCGACTGCAGCTACTGTTCTAATATATGCTGTAAACCACAGAGTGTGCATGTTTTTTGCTTTGGCATATCACAGGCGGTAAATACAGCAATTCCGTTTTGTTAACCGGTTTAGCATATTGTGGAGTCTCTTCATCTAACAGTGGCCATAGAGAAGCCCCTGAAAAGCCACCAATAGAGCCACCTGGAGCAATGGCATCGACAGGTAGAGACCAGTCAATGACCAACTCATGATCTGGTTGCAGTCCCTTAGCGACCCTTAGCGACCAGTCAATGACCAACTCATGATCTGGTTGCAGTCTTGATGGCTGCAACCCCTCCATGGTCACAGGCTCACATTTTGGGCACTTGGCAACTGGCAACTGTGTCTATGGCTGTCCTGTGATCGCGTGAGGATAGCAATTGTGTCTATGGCTGTTTACAGCAGTGATCCCCAACCTTTTTTATGCCGCAGCCCGGTACCGGCATCAGCTGGGCGCCGCGGCCCGGTACCAGCATCAGCTGGGCGCCGCCATCTTTTTTTGATGAAAAAGTGTTGGGGACCCCTGGTTTACAGCATCCCGTGATCCCGTGATAGCAATTTTCAGGTTTTTTTTTTTGTTGGTTTCTGGCAAAAAAAAAATGCCAATTGGGTAAAATGGATTCATTCAATAATTGCTGTGTCCAGTTAATGGCCACAGCAAAAAAGGTGATGTCATGTGGTGACCCAACTAATAACTGCCTTGACTCACAACCCTAATTCTGGGCTAAATCATGGTATTTTAACAGATTTTAACAGATAATCAGAGTTGGAAGGGACCTTGTAGGTCATCTAGTCCAACCCCCCCCACCCAAGCAGGAGATCCTACACCATTTCTGACAAATGGCAGTCCAGTCTCTTCTTGAAGGTCTCAAGTGATCGCGCTCCCACTATTTCTGAGGGAAACTTCTGTTCCATTGGTTGATTGTTCTCACTGTCAGAAAGTTTCTCCTTATTTCCAGGTTAAACCTCTCCTGGTCACTGAGGACTTCCCTCAGGCATTTAATTATTTAATTATAAAAAACTCCAATGGCAGCCTTAGTGATTCTACCTTGCTGTTAAACAGAGCTAAGACCCAACCACTTAAATAGAATATTAATTTACTGTGTATGCGTGTGCGTATCAGCAATTTTTATTATGTACCAACGGACAGATCTAGATTTATAAAGCAAAGCTGTCATTTTTGCACTAGGGTTTTACAGCAACTAGAAAGAAGGCAATGTATGTATGTATGCATGTATGTATATTATTCAGTTATTATCCCCAAATAGTTAGATTTGTTTACAGCAAGCTTTTTTATCTACTGTATCTAATGATATTTGTAGAGGACTCATACAAGGTGGGACTCAACGGCAAACAGATGCAGCTGGAGAAGATGGGCCTGCCCCACAAGCAAATCTGGCCCTGAGGCCTCCCCAGCCCCGAGGATGCACGCTGGGGCTGAACTGGGCTTCTTGCATCCAAACAGAGAGGCTCTGCCTTTCATTTATAAGCCTTCCCTCACAGGTTGCATGATTTCTCCACGTGTGACAGGCATGGCCAAACAAGAAAAGGTACCTGCTTGTTTCTCTCATTGAGCGTGCCGGGCCTACAGATGAGTAAGGGCCCCACTAAGCCAGAGTTGATGTCTCTTGTGGGATCCACTGCAGAAGAATACATCCGGGTCAGGCAGGGGGGGTCAGAAGCTGTGGGGCCAACATGCGGCGGTAGCACCCAGAGATAAGTGAAGTTGCCAAATGGCTTGATGGATGCTCCGTTTTTGAGTAGGTCTTTAAAATGAAGGAGAAAAACCCAGTTATTTGTACATTTTCAGTCACTGGTCCATCAAATCATCTCATAGAATGCACTATGGGAACAGATGTCCCTGGCTGTTTCCATCTATGGGCATATCACCCTGTACAAAATGGGGGCCTTCAAATATGTCTGCCAAGATAATAATAATCACTACTCACTGCAATATCCATTTACTGGAAGCAAGGGTTATCTTAGCTCAATTTCCAATTTATCCTTTCTTGGGGAAGCGAAGGTAAGCACATTTTCAAAGGGATTGTTGGGTTGCAACCACCAGCCCTTGTTATTTCCAGAAGTTCTCAAAGTGGCTGATGAAATAAGGCAGATTAAGGATGCTTTTTTGCTAAAGCATTTTTTTGCATAAAAAGCTTTTAAAGCAGGAAGGAGCAGGAAGCCTTCCACAACTTGGCTTTCTTCACCTCCCATAATCCACAGTTGACATGGGGGACACCAGGTTGGACTAGGCCCTTATAAAGTTGCCAGTGTTCCACATGAAGGCTTCCTACAAAATTGCTTCTGCAAAACTGGAAACTGCTTCCGTTTCTCAGCCAAAGAACATAATTTGCCTGACCTGTTTTCTGACTGAAAGGATCACACCTGTTAATATGTGTTTCATTCTGGAACAGATTAAAAAATGAACACAAAGTGGTTAGCAGAACGAACCATCCTGGTATGGGGCTTCTTCCCGCGGCTTCCTGTAAAACCCACCGTGGGGCTGGATGCTGAAAGGCCACGAGGCTTTGTTGGCAAAGGTCACCTGAATGGTGTCACCTACTTCGGCTTTGATCACTGGACCTGCAAGGGGAAAGAGACGGAGGGCTGGATGAGCTACAACCACAACAGAACCAGCTTCAGAGTACCTAGATAAATCTGGGTAATAAAGAAAAACATTTTGACCCTATAGTGCAGTCAGGGCCCCCCGAGCCACCTAAAAGCATTTGGTGGGGCCCCCAGAACATGCTAACGTTACTCTCAAATAGTCACGTTTAATGTGATTAAAAAGGAGGAAATAGAAAGGATTAGACATTGACAAGAGACATAATTTATTTTAATGCAGGTGTGTCCAACCAGCAGCCCAGGGGATGCATGTGGCCCTGGACAGCTAGCAATGTGGCCCCACAAGATTAGAGAAACTATTTAAAAATAAAGGAAGTTTGTTATTTATACGCACTAGAACAGTTCCTCTTCACTTAACATGGCCCAGAGCAAGACAAAAGTTTGGACAATCATGTTTTAATAAAGTTTTAAGAACTTTATGTTTACAAAGTTCTGGCCTGCTGGTTATTGTTTTCATTAGAAACAATTCAATCAAAGGTCCTCTGCTGAGGTCCAGACACAAAATATTAGTTGTTATTTAAACATTAAATAAGAGGAAATTCAGAAAGAAAGCCCCTATCTTACACAGTTTAATAATACCTTTCAAAACAGGAAAGTTGAGTTAGAGAAGTTAAGCTGAACAAGGATGTTCGGTGGGCTGGAATTGTCCCCAAATTGCAGAGTCATGGGCCCAAAATTGCAGAGTCATAGCCCCAAAAGTCAAGATTGGTGGCCTGGTGGGATTTTGACTGCACCATCTTGATTGCCACCTTGACATTTTGACTGTAACTGCCGACATCGCTGCAGAATCACCGCAGAACCTCCTAAATTTGTTGCACAAAGTCCGAATCCAAAACCTTTCCCAGGTTTGGATCACCCACTTCCTTTCCTAGCTGTGAACTCCCACTTCTTTGGACTTGGGAGAAAAACTGTCTGGAACCGTCACCCTCCTGTCAAGCACAAGCTAGTCTCCTCTTTATTGTTCTGTTTTTCTTCCTACTGTTTGACTAGTTGAACTGCCAGCTGATCATTCCAAAGTCTGCCTTTCTTTGTGGCTGCATTGTCCCTTGAGCATCAGGAAAGGTGGCTGGTCCTTCATTCTTAGTCTGCTCTCATTCCTTTTCATGTTAAAATGAACATAATGACACCAGAGTCTTGGATTTTAAAAGAGCTGATTTCAATAAACTCAGAGAGAACTTGGGAAAGATTCCATGGATGAAAATCCTAAAGGGCAAAACCACTCAAGAATCTGGGGAAACTCTAAAAAGTATGATCATAGAAGCCCAGACCAGCACAATACCACTGAAAAAGGAAAACAAGAAATCCAAGAAGAAACCAGCATGGCTGCACAAAGATCTCTCTGGCAAATTGAAAGTACAAAAAATAGAAAGAAGGACATACAACTTATGCAGAATATCAGCAGATAGCCAGAATCTGCAAAGACGAAGTCAGGATAGCAAAGGCTCAGAACGAACAAAGACTTGCAACAAAAGTCAAAGATAATAAAAAAAGTTTCTTCCAACATATAAATAACAAGAAAAAAAATCAAGGAAACAGTCGGTCCACTAAAGAGAGAAGATGGCAAGGAAGTAACAGGCAACAGAGAGAAAGCAGAACTGCTTAACTCATTCTTTGCATCCATCTTCACACAAAAAGAAACTAAAGCTCAACCCACCAAAAACATAACTGTAAAAGACAGACCAGAAATAAAAGTTAAAATAAGCAAAAAAAATAGTAAGAGAACACCTGTCTGATCTTGATGAAAACAAATCCCCGGGGCCTGATGGATTACATCCCAGAGTTTTAAAGGAGCTGGCAGAGGTCATCTCAGAACCACTGCACCATATCTTTCAAAAATCCTGGAGCACCAGGGAACTACCAGAGGACTGGAAAAGAGCTGATGTGGTTCCCATCTTCAACAAAGGGGGAAAAAACAGACCCAGGAAACTATGGACCAATCAGCCTAACATCAATACCCAGGAAGATACTGGAAAAGATAATAAAAAAACAGATCTGCCAACATCTAGAAACAAGTAAAGTAATAACTAGCAGTCAGCATGGGTTTGTTAAGAACAGATCATGCCAAACCAATCTTATTTCATTCTTCAACACAGTGACTAAATTAGTAGACCAGCAAAATACTGTGGACATAATATATTTAGATTTCAGCAAGGCATTCGACAAGCTAGAAAAAAGTGGAATAGATAGCACCACCACAAGATGGACTCGAACGAGTAGTCCTTAATGGGTCTAAGTCTACATGGAGGGAAGTAAGCAGTGGGGTGTCACAAGGTTCCGTCTTAGGCCCAGTACTCTTCAATATCTTCATTAACGACTTAGATGAGGGAATAGAAGGGGAATTTACCAAATTTGCAGATGATACTTAGCTGGCAGGAATAGCTAACACCCAAGAAGGTAGGCTCAAGATCCGGATGGATCTTGACAGACTAGAACACTGGGCCGTATCTAACAAAATGAAATTCAATGTAGAGAAAAGTAAAGGCAAGGCAAGAAAAACCAAAAGTACACATATAGACTGGGTGAAAACAGGCTCAATAGCAGTAACTGTGAGAGAGATCTTGGAGTCTTAGTGGACAACCAGCTAAATAGCAGCCAGTAATGTGCAGCCAGTAATGTGCAACAGCAGCCAAAAAAGCTAATGCAATCCTAATTTGTATTAACAGAGGGATACAATCAAGATCAAGGGAAGTACTAATGCCACTCTATAAAGCCTTAGTAAGACCACACCTAGAGTACTGCATCCAGGTTGGTTCACCACATTATAAAAAAGATGTTGAGACTCTAGAAAAAGTACAGAGAAGAGCAACCAGGATGATTAGGGGACTGGAGGCTAAAATATACAACGAATGGTTGCAGGAACTGGGCTTGGCTAGTCTAGTAAAGAGAAGGACCAGGGGAGACAGAATAGCAGTCTTCCAATATTTGAGGGGCTGCCACAGAGAGGAAGGGGTCAAGCTATTTTCCAAAGCACCCAAAGACCAGACAAGGAATAATGGATGGAAACTGAACAAGGAGAGATTTAACCTGGAAATAAGGAGAAACTTTCTGACAGTGAGAACAATCAATCAATGGAACAGAAGTTGCCCTCGGAAGTTGTGGGAGCACCATCACTTGAGACTTTCAAGAAGAGATTGGACTGCCATTTGTCAGAAATGGTGTAGGCTCTCCCGCTTGGGCGGGGGGATGGACTAGATGACCTACAAGGTCCCTTCCAACTCTGATTATCTGTTAAACCTGTTAAAATATCAGAATGGGGCTATTTCATTATCCAGAATAAAAGGAAATAATCACCAGCAATGGGCAGCTTTCCGAAGGGCTTCTGACTAACACTTTAATTGCCTACTGAATTCAAGATGAATCCTGCCACATTACCAAGTATCCCAAGGTGCTTTCCTTCCTCCGTCTGCTCTTTCTCCACACGAAAAGTCCCGTCCGTATATTCAACGTATTTGGCTTTCCAGTATGTCCCTCCAAGTTGACTGGCATTTTGCTTAAAGAACAGCTGTGAGAAACTGAACACAAACAAGCCCACAATGACTTTTTGCATTAGCCAGCAGCCACAGCATTTCTAAAATCTCAAGAGCTTTTAAAAGGCGGATTTGTTACGGAGTATTTAAATCTGGCTCTATAAAGAATGGCAGAGAGTTTCATTTTTAATATGCAAATTGCCTTGGCCAATTAACCTTTTTTGTTGCTCTTTTAGTTCACAGAGTACAATACAACCAAGTGCAAATTGATGCACGGGAAGACTCAACCATCTTTTAGCACCTGGAGTAGGCTGTGAGTAGCCTCCGTAGTTTTCGCTGCTGACATCTCTGAGCTTCCCTGTGGTTATTTTGCGAAGCTAGGACAGTAATGGCAAAGCCCAGGTCAACTAAACCTGAGCACCTGCAGGAAAATGTCACCCCTGCAGCTCCCTTTGGGGCTCTTTCTCCAGGACTCAAGGGCCAGCTTGAGATTTCCTGGTCTAGCAGGATGGGAAGCAGTGAAGCAGCCATCTGGTAGGTAAGAGGACGCCTGTTTTGCATTCAAGGGAGTCCAGATTCAATTCCTGACATTTTCTGTTCATCCCATAAAACTTTATGTCAAAAAAGAGGAAGGATGCTTCTCTTAATAGGCAGAGAGGCCGTCCTTTTTTCTTTTAAACAAAGTTTTATTTCAGTTTTCCACTTTTTAAAAAACATCTCTTTTTAGTGAACTACATGATTCCAGGTTTTCACATTTCATACAAAAATGACCATAATTACACATTCATCTTTCATATTCAACTTCATATCTTACTTTACGTATTTTCTATTATGATATTTTTTCCAAATACTTTCCTCCTATTTGAATCACAAATAGCTCTCATATCTTCATAATCATTATACTTTTGAATTTTTATCTGTCAGATTTGCAATTTCATCGCATATTCTTATTTCATCATTCCACAAATTCTAGTTTCATTCAAACATTGCAAAAATCCCCCAATTGCTAATTTGAGTATGCCACCCCTATAGCTTACATATTCTTTAATTACCTCCCCTTTAAATCCCAATAAACATTTAACTTTTATTACCTATAAAGTTAATAATAAAAATCTCCTATGAAGATCTTTTACTTCTCACCCAAGAAGCTTCCCCAGTTCTGAATCAGAAGCTGAACTGAAAAACTTCTTGGATGAGAATCGAAATGTCTTCAAGGAAAAACAAAGGAAGTTTAGTTTAGTTTTAGTTTAGTTTATTGTCCTTGCACCTTGTACAATGAAATTAAATGTCATCTTCGGTGTACATTATAAATATAAAAATAAAACACAAACACACATCCTTCACATTCTATATAATTGAGTTGAAAACCCGATATTGCATTAATATTGCACTATACAGTAGAATTCAATAGAGTTGCTGCCCTGGGATAGAAGCTGTTTTTTCAGCCTATTTGTCCTTGTTTTTATTGTCCTGTACTGTCTGACAGATGGTAATAGTTCAAAAGAAAAAGGTGCCCAGATGGATCTGTGAGAATGTTTTGAACTTTCTTAAGACAGCAGGAGCTATAAAGCTCTTCCAAAGAGGGGAGAGGGCAACCCATGATCCTCTGGGAAATGAAGTTCACCCTGTGGAGTTCTGTCCTATCTGCCACTGTGCAATTAGCAAACCATACAGAGGTGCAGTAAGTTAAGATACTCTCTATGGTGCAGCGGTAGAAGGTCACCAGCAGTTTTTCATTCAGCTGTTGTTTTCTGAGAAGCCTCAGGTAGTCTAATCTCTGCTGGGCCCTTTTGACCAGGGCTGCAATGTGAGCCCCCCAGGTCAGGTCCTCTTTTAGGGTAACACCCAGAAACTTAAAACTGGTCACTTGCTCCACTTGGTCTCCATTGATAAGCAAGGGCTGGAGGTCTGATCTGTTCCTTCTATAGTCCACTATAAGATCCTTGGTCTTATTGGTGTTAAGGACCAAGTTATTATCTCCACACCACGAAAGCAACTGGTCCACCTCATCTTGATAGACAGACTCATCCCCTATGGGTATAAGTCCCACCACTGTTGTAGTATCTGCAAATTTAGTAATAGTATTACTAGCGTGAGTGGGAATGCAGTCATGCACATAAAGAATATAGAGTAAGGGACTCAACATGCAACCCTGTGATGTACCAGTGTTAAGAATAAGGGCTGAAGAGGTATGATTACCTAATCTGACCTGCTGTGAGCGGCTAAACAGGAAATCCATAATCCAAAGGCAGATTTCTAGTCCAAGGTCCAGAAGTTTAGACACTAATCTATGTATTGTGTTAAACGCAGAACTAAAATCCACAAAAAGCATCCTCACATAGCCCCCACCACTGTTCTAGATGGGTCAGAGCAGTGTGAAGAGTGATGGCTATAGCGTCCTCTGTAGATCTATTTTTTTCTGTATGCAAACTGGTGTTTATCAAATGTATGTGGAAGACCAGAAACGATATGCCGGCAGACCACTTTCTCAAAGCATTTCACAATGATAGGACTGAGTGCCACTGGTCTGTAATCGTTATTGATAGGGAACTTCTTTGGCAATGGAACAATGGTGGAAGCCTTCAAACAAGATGGAATAGTGGACTGGGATAAAGACCCGTTGAAGATCCTGGTAAAGACTCCAGCCAACTGATCAGCACAGTCTTTAAGCACTCAGCCAGAGTGCAGTTCCCTCTTGAAAAAGCACCTTTGGTGCAATCGTGACCTGGTTGACTGAGTATCTCCACATTAACACTGCAGTTTTCAATCTGTGCAAAACCTGTTTGGAAGACACCGTTGTGTGACAGTCTCAACATGCATCAAAAACTAATTCTCCAGATGGGGCTGTCAACAGGGATTCTAACAGTGGCTGGGCTAGGTAACGCTCTCTTTGGAGCCCACTTGAGCTCACCTGCCTTTCTGGTAAGTTATCATTGTTAAGCCAGTTTCAACATTCATTGAAAAAGCATCTGCATCACACATATTCTCCCAACTCAGGTAGTGATTTAGTTACTCAGCCCGTTCTTTTCTTACAAAAGTCCAGTCAGCAATTGAACAATCCAGTGTTTCCATGATGCTCCTTACAGCACTACAGATGCATACCTGGCTGAAGCATGTGGGCTTTGGAAACCACATTTGAAACCTTGGATCACAGAGACTTACCTGTTTGGCTCATGCAGGCTTTTCCCTGTACTTGGGTCTAATCCAGAAGGCCCATAATTCCAACGCACTTCTTTGGCTGCTATGTAGTATTGACGGAGTTTCCCTTTTAGGGCAGGTCCTGAATCCTGATAGGAGCAACGCTTTACTTCATAAAGAGCCTCCATTCCCGCTGTGGAAGCCAAGAAGAGACCATGAGAGACTGAGACTCCATTTCCATTTGGTCAATTTGTGGAGAATTCGAGGGGAAGAAAAGAGAGCAGTTCAGAAGATGCAGAAAAAGAATTTGTATCAATTGAATTAGCTGATTGGGGATGTGGTTCTATCGTATGATAATTAGCACATAGTGACACGAATAAATCTAACCTTTGCTATTTGCTTCTGTTAAGAATTGCTTGTGCTATTTTGCTATGGTTAGTAATTATTTGTTTGGAATTAATTCGGTAAAAGAATTGCATCCTTTGCTATCAGGTTTCTCTCTTCTGTTACTTGCTTCAGAGCTTGGCACATCCTTGGATACAGAACAACAAAACAGTTCCCAGGAGCCTCCTGCTCCATAGATAAACAGGGCCAGAGAAGGGGGCTGCCTAGGAGCAACGAATACACAAGGCTACAAGGGATGCTCTGTAAGATAACCAAGCATAGACAGAGCATGGACAAAGAATGCTCCATGGATAAGGGGTGGCGGCATGGGTGAGACGTTGCAAACTTCTGTCTCTGATTGGCTAAATGAGTGTATGAGATCCTAGACATATTTTCCTAGGTGTGGCTTTTGTCCATGCATGTTTGTTGTCTATATGCATATGGAATAAGTCTACCCAGCTCTTCTTTGTACAAATAAAGCTGTTATTTTCCAAGCCTTTCTTGAGTCTCACTATCTTTGGCACCTCAGTGACTCAGGTAACTCTGGAACCTTACATTCTTTTTATGCTGTTTATTTGTCCTGGATGTCACCCAGAGGCAACTGGGTCATGCTAAATCGAATGAATTAAATTAGGTTGTTCAGTTTTCCAGATACAAGGAACTTAACGGTCTATCTGCACATTAGAGAGTTGTACAAACACAGCAGCTTTGGAACTTAAATGTTCAACTCAGAAATCCAATACTGATTTGATAGATTAATCAGAAAGTCATTAAGTGATCTCTTTGATTCTCCAGTAGACTGTCCTCTCCACTTCTTCTCATAGCTGGATTGTATTGCCTGCATTAAAGACTGCAAGGATCCTCCAGAAAAGATCGGAGCGGAGATATGGTTCTATTTCTGAGGGACGCCACACAAATATTCCCAAAATTGTTATTATGGTGCTGCAGAGACCATTTATTTTTTCAGCATGTACTGGAGATTCAAATTCATCAGGAGCATTTGTTAAAGCAGGGGTCACCAACCTTTTGGACCTCAGGCACCACCAAACTCATAATTTTAAATCCCGCCGACCAGAGACCCTGGGAAAATCCCAAAAAAGTCTGCAGGAAAATTCCCCACCCTGTTTTCCTACTGATCGATCATTCTTTATTTGGGATTGCAGGATACCATCTCCAACTCCGTTCTCAGGGGGAGAGAGAGAGAGAGAGAGACTTTTAACTTCATGCAAGGAAAGCAGCAGAAGCAGCAGAAGTCTTTCTTTCTCTCCCCCAAACTCCACCAGAAATGAGTCTTTGTGAGATTTGTTGCACCGGCGCAGCCTCTTGGAGCAGGATGCCTTGCAGAGTCCTGTGCTTTGGGGGTGACATTTCTCTGCGGACCACCAAAATTTTCTCATGGACCACCAGTAGTCCCCAGCCCACTGGTTGGCGACCACTGTGTTAAAGGGTGTGCTCCTGAATTGCAGTAGATTGCTGAAAGAATAATGAGTAGCTAAATAGCAGAACATCTCTTTAAACAGAGCAAAAGGCTTATAGTATAGTTGCCTTGGCTACAGAGAATGAGCTTAGCCCAGCTATCAACAAATGCTAATAATCAGTCATTGTATTTAAAGTAAAAGTCAGACTTATTAGAAATATTTGAGGATTAAAAAGCCTAAACCATATCTCGAAGAGGGATGGAGAGAAAATTCCCTCTGTCTCTTAAATAATCAAGTATAGGTAGTCCTCAACTTACAGCTACAATTGAGCCCAAAATTTCCTTTGCTAAGTAAGGCAGCTGTGAAGTGGATTTTGTCCTATGACCATTCTGGCCACAGTTGTTAAGTGAAACTCTGCAGTTGTTAAGTTAGTAACAAGGTTGTTAAGTGAATCTGCTTTCCCCACTGACTTTGCTTGTCAGAAGGTCACAAAAGGGGATCACATGATCCCAGGACACTGCGACCGTCATAAAGATGAGTCAGTTGCCAAGTGGCTGAATTTTGATCATGTGACCATGGAGATGCTACAATGTGAAAAACAGTCATAACTTACTTTTTTGGTGCCATTGTAACTTCGAAGGGTCACTAAATGGTTATAAGTTGAGGACTACCTGCAATCAGCAATCGATTGCTAGTTCTTATTAGAAATCTGGGGCTGAACTAGAGCCCAGCCTCTGAAGAGCCTTCTGTCTCTCTTTCCCTGTCTCTCATGGTTTGCCCTGAGGCAGGCTTTCCCAGCCATGGCAACTTGAAGATATGTGGACTTCAACACCCCAGAGACCTTCACATTTCTAGGTTCTATCGTATCTCAAGACCTAAAATGGACACCTAATATCAAAAATGTGATCAAAAAAGCACAACAAAGAATGTTCTTTCTGCGCCAACTCAGGAAGCTCAAACTGCCCAAGGAGCTGCTGATCCAGTTCTACAGAGGAATTATTGAGTCTGTCATCTGCACCTCTATAACTGTCTGGTTTGGTTCTGCAACCCAACAGGACAGACACAGACTTCAGAGGATAATTAGGACTGCAGAAAAAACAATTACTACCAACCTGCCTTCCATGGAGGACCTGTCTATTGCACGAGTCAAAAAGAGGGCTGTGAAAATATTTACAGACCCCTCACATCCTGGACATAAACCGTTTCAACTCCTTCCCTCAAAATGACGCTATAGAGCACTGCACACCAGAACAACTAGACACAAAGGGAGGTTTTCCCCCAACGTCATCACTCTGCTAAACAAATAATTCCCTCAACACTGTCCAACTATTTACAAAGTCTGCACTACTATTACTGTTAATCTTCTCATCACTCCTTATCACCCATCCCCTCCCACTTGTGACTGTAAGACGGTAACTTTGTCACTTGTATCCTTACGATTTATATTGACTGTTTTCTAGTATGATTTGATTGCCTATTTGTACCCTATTACTATCATTAAGTGTTGTACCTTGATTCTTGACCAATGTTTTTTTCTTTTTATGTACACTGAGAGCATATGCACCAAGACAAATTTCTTGTGTGTCTAATCACACTTGGCCAATAAAGAATTCATTCATTCATTCATTCATTCATTCAACTCCCAGCCAGCCATGCCTGCAGCCATGCTTGAGGTGTATGTATGTATGTATGTATGTATGTATGTATGTATGTATGTATGTATATATGTATATATGGTATTCAGCTTTGTTCGGGTATTTTCCCACGTCATTATAGTTGTGAGTCGAACACAATACAGAAGCCTGATGATGGCAGATGAGATTCTGCCGAAATGTTGCTCCAATTTTAAAAGCACAACTATAACGATGTGGGAAAATACCCGAACAAAGCTGAATACCATACATATAAATACCAGCGAAAACTTAAGAATATATATATATAATAAATTCTGTGATGAAAATTTAGAATCTTTACATACCAAGCCATTTTATTCTCCACGTGAGTTTCCTCATTTCTCCTAATAGCTGTGTATGTTCCTCCACAAGCCTGTGTAAACAAGGCATTACAAACTCTTGCTAATCAAATTACGCAGGCTGAAGCCAAACACCCAGATTCCCTTCTCATCATTTGAGGGGATTTCAATCAAGCAAATTTTAGGAAAGAGCTCCCAAAATATTTCCAGCATGTAAATTGTCCCACCACAGGCAAAAATACTTTAGACCACTGCTATACAACAGTAAAAGATGCTTATAGGTCTTTACCACAAACAGCTGTGAGACACTCTGACCACTGCATGATTCACCTTGTACCTGCTTACAGACAAAAACGTAAAACCATGAAACCAACAATTAAATCAGAGAGGACTTGGTGGGATGAGGCAAAGTTGCAGCTCCAGGCTTGCCTTGACTGCACTGATTGGAATGTTTTTGAAGATACCTCTGCAGACCTAGATGAGCTCACAGATACTGTAACATCATATGTCAGCTTCTGAGAAGACTTATGTGTACCAACAAGGAACCTGCAAATATATAGTAACAATAAACTTTGATTCGCAGTCGTTCCAAAGAGGAAGCCTACAGAAAAGGTGACAGAATGATATACAATCAGGCCAGAAACATATTAACTGGAGAGATCAGAGCAGCAAAAAGAAGCTACTCTGAAAAGTTAAGGAATCAGTTCTCACCAAATGAACCAGCAAACATGTGGCAAACTCTTAAAAACATCACTGGCTACAGCAAACCTCCTTCCCAGGCAGAAGGAAATCAACAGCTAGCAGATGACCTGAATGTGTTTTACTGCAGGTTTGAAAGGAAACTATAGCCACCTATCTCCACAACCAGGGGTGGGATTCAAATTTTTTAATAACCAGTTCTGTGGGCGTGGCTTGGTTGGTGGTTGTGGCTTGGTGGTCATGTTATTAGCTGGGCTTGGCCAACTCAATATCACTCACATCGAGGCATGCATCTCCTCGCCTGGCCTCTCATGACTGTAGGGATGCTGCAACAGTCGTAAGTGTGAAAAATGGTCATAAGTCACTTTTTTCAGTGCCATTGTAACTTTGAATGGTCACTCCACACAAGCAAAGTACCAGCAAAGGAGGGGGAAAAAAGCTCCAGAGAAGTTCCTGAGACAGGAAGTCTAGTCCTGTCAAGAATGTAATAAGGGTTAATGGAGAGGCAGTTTCTGTAAGCAACACCAGAATGTTTCCTTCCTGCCTTCCTTACAGGATTAGGCCAGTAATTTCTTCTAACAACCGGTTCTCCAAACTGCTTAGAATGTTAACAACCAGTTTTAGCGAATAGGTGCGAACTGGTAGAATCCCACCCCTGTCCACAACCCCCATCTCAAACACACCAACAACAGCCAAGCCTCCTACAACTGGCCCCAACCCATTGGGTTCACAACCTCTGGTGATCACAGAAAAAGAAGTGCAACATCTATTTCACAGACAGAAACCAGGAAAAGCACCAGGGCCAGACAAGATAACTCCTTCTTGCTTAAAAGTCTGTGCTGACCAATTGGCCCCCATCTTCACCTGAATCTTCAATAGATCACTAGAGATGTGCTATGTTCCTTCCTGCTTCAAACATTCTAGTATCATCCCAATGCCAAAGAAGCACTCCATCAGGGAACTGAATGACTACAGACCAGTTGCTCTAACATCTGTAGTTATGAAAATCTTTGAAAGGTTTGTGCTGTCCCACCTGAAAACCATCACAGATCTGCTGTTAGATCCCATGCAATTTGCATACTGAGCAAACAGATGATGCTGTTAATATGGCTCTGCATTAGATCCTTCAACACCTTGAACCTCCAAATATCTACGCAAGGGTCCTCTTTGTAGACTTCAGTTCAGCATTCAATACCATCATTCCAGACATTCTTCTAAGACTCGTGATTTAATTGGGGTAACTGCCAGAATCCTGACACAGTCATTTTTAGTTTTTTTCCCCCGTCTTTGGGAAGAGGGACCTTTTCTAAAAGCATTAGATCTAGAAAAACTAGAAAATGTTTTAGATCTAGAAAATATTCACAGTGGGATACTATACATTTCTGCAACAACTGTGGTATCTGATTGTTTTCAGCCAAAACAAAAAGACTGTCCTCTTTCATCTTTCATTATAAAGTACTTCCTCAACGATACTAAGATGTCCTCAAAATATGATCAAAAAGTTGAGATGGCAGCTGATGATGATGGTCTGATAGAATTCACACATGAAAAGAACAGCTTCTTTCACTGCACCGTCACAGCTAACATCTTGACTTTTTTGACCATATCTCACAGACAACTGTGAGAGCTCTGAAAGAGGAATGCTTTTGGTTCTCTCTTCTCAAGGACTTCTACTCCATGCTCAGGCCAAATGGAGAAGAGCTTGGTTCTCCTTGGTGCTGGGTGACTTCCAAGGGCTTGGGGGCTCACCTTGCAAGTGGTCAGAAACCTCACAGGTCAACAGCCATTTCCCAACATTGTGAGGGACCATTTCAGCTGCCACGAAGGTTGCTGGGAAAAGGGAGGCCACATCGGACCGGTGTCCTCGACTGATCAGTGTCTGTCCATGGAAGAAGGCAGTATGGACATCAATCTCATTGCCCATCCCAAAGAGATGCCACGAGACCCGATCTCCGGCACACATTGTGACCTCAGGGAGGTTCCCAAAGATGAAACCATTAATGGCTGCAGAAAGAAAGAGAAAAGTAGCAGTGCTGGGGAAGTTCCCCCAGGGTTCACCCCTAAATAAGGCAGAACAGGACTGCTGTGGGTCCGTTCCTTAAAAAAAAAGAAAAAAAGAATTGTACTTGCATTTTCCTAAAAAGCAATGCCTCTTAATTGTTTAATAATAAACACACAGTATATGTAACCTATAGATTATTATAAAACCAATTATATGCTTAAAAACAATCGAAAAGTTAAAAAAAAACACCAAAAAACCCCCCAAGAAACAAGGGAGAAAAAAAAGACACGCCCAAAAACAAATAAACAAATAAAACACAAGTATACTGTTCAAATTTTAATATCATATTACCATTCTAAAGTTTCAAGTATTAACATACTATTATACCACTCCCTTTTTCAGTAATGAATTGGACCGCATGGCTTCCTCTTGTCTGAACTTGCCTCTCCCTTGAGAAACAGCCAGAGAAGAGGTGACTGAGTGTAAAAGCCAAGTTTTAGAGTCTGAAGTACAAACTTCTCTTTAGAAATACATGACCATCTTCTTTGTATGGGTCTAAGCACAATGTTTTCCAAAGGTCTTCATAAACTGAGAATTCCCAAATGTTTACAGAATATTTAATATCACTTTAACATTTTTACGCTTAACTCCTTCAAGAAATCAATTCACTACAATACTATTTTAGTAATGAAGAATTGCTAGTTGACATGCCCATATTCTACAGTTCTTTGACATCTGGGACCAAGGAAAGACGATGGCCAACTAATACCCTTTCTGGATATTTTTTGTTAAGTGGGTTTATTAAATATATTGTATATTCCTTAAAAACTAAAGCCAGTGAAAAATATTTTAATTCTCTCTTCTAAATATATAACATGTTATTTAAGTTTTATTTTTATGACATTTTAATACTTATGATAGTAATACATTGTGAACTTTGTTTCTATGAAGACCTCCTCCAAATTCACACAGGCTCTCCAGAGTTTCAAAAGCTGCAACGAAGCCAACGAATGAACATATGAATCATTTAAATGTTTATTTTTCCCATTTGGCTCTTTTATTACTTTTTTGCAAATTTTCAAATATTTTATATGTTTATTGATATCTGAACAACAGCAAAAATCCCATTTGATCCTTGTTTTCCACACACATGCAAAAGCATTTCCAGCCATCTAAAAAGAAGAAGAATTAAACATATTTTCCAAAGACAACTGCAATCAATTTTATGTTTTGACTTGCTGCCTTCAGTGCTGAAAAAATAATCACATTTTAAGTACAGTATAGACAAAACCAAGAATTTGAAGGCTTGAGTCAAGAGAGCGAAATAATAACTCTCTAGTTAAGCACACAATGCTAAATGCTATTATCAGTATCAGTTTCATTTCAGTACTTATTGAAGTACTTTAACATTTGGAAAATTAAAGCCACCACCATCATATGGGAGTTATAACTTTAATAGTGAAATTCTGGGTATTTGTGCTTTTCATCAAAAACTAATGAACAGGGGAGGGGTACTGCTCTAAAAAATGCATCAGAAGGTGCAATATTAATTTCAAACATATTGATTCCTTCTCACAAACTTACTGGCATTTTCATCAACCTCTTAGAATCACTTTACACTTGGGTAACATACATTGAAATATCCATATATGCTAGACAAGACATTTTCCCAGGGACAATAATTCCCCTGTATTTAATAAAGTCTGAATGTTTTGTCTGCTTCTTTGGGGACCTTCTTATTCATAGGCAAAACACTAGCCCCAGCCGAAGAAGGAAGCAAAGAGGAAGGTGCTCACCATGCATTCTGTTGCTTTCTCTGAACTCTTCATCTTCCTTGTCAACCGAGTCTGGCTCAGTGCAGAAGGAAGCAATGTTTTCATCCAGGTGCCAACTTTCATTCTCATCCACCACACTAAACATCAGGAAGAAATCAAGATCCACATCATGGCGTCTTGAAGGTAGCGTTTTCAGAGTTCCTGGACCAGGAAAAATCATGAGTGAATGAAGGACACCAACAGGGTCAGCTCTGGGTGAGACTTATGAGGTTTTCACCCATTTCAACTTCTCTTTCAGGATGACCTTCCAACCTGGGATTCACTGCATTCAATGCCCATAAAAATGGGGAGAGGGGAGGGAGGGCTCATCAACCATACTGTTGTTGCTGCCATCTTGAATCTTTTAACCACATCCTGTGGAGCCACATCCTCTATGTCCACACATCACACTAAGGCACAGAATTGTTTATACTGTATGAAACTCCCATGACCTGTAAATCAAGGTCTGCATTTATTTCTATCTCGCTATATCATTCCATAGAATTGCAAACTGCCATACACCTCACTAAAAACAAGCAAGTTGTTTACAATTTAAACACTACAATATTATGAAAAATATTTCTAAACTTTTTAAAAACCTGGAGCAATATGACCATCTGAGGCCAGACCAGAAAGGCAGAGCAGCATCAGTTTAATTAACATCTTTGTTGAGCAGACGTACCTTAAACTGAAGATAATTGAATTTTGGGAATAGAGGCTCTAAATTGGGTCTGGACAACTTGGGGCAGTCACCTCAGTGCGGCCAGCTCACCACTACCAAGCTGCCTCTGCCAACTCACTGCAGGATAACTCAACGTGGCCAATTCGCTGCGGGTACAACTTGCCGTGGGCACCTGGAAGAAGAGCTGGGCAGGTGGGTGAGGGGTGTGCAGAGTGTAGAATGGCGGTTGTGGCTGTGGGCTCCCCATTTTCACATGGCCTGCCATCCTGCTTCCACTCTGAGCTCCGGGCTGTTTGGAGTTCGGGCCACTTGGCAATGATGGTTGTTGGTGAGGTAGGCAGCAGGTGTGAAAATGGAAAACCTCCACCACTCTATGCTCTGCCTAGCTCTCCCTCCGACTGCCCACCGAAAGCTGTACTTAAGGCAAATTGGCCGTGTTGAGCTGTCCTGTGATGACTTGGCAGAGGTAACTTGGCAGTAGGAAGCTGGCCACACCGAGTTGTCCCATTCTGCCCCAAATTTCATTTAACATTGTTAAACCAAGAACAATTCCCCATTAAGTCTCAAGAAAAAAAATCAGGCAATGATGTCTACAAAGTACAAAACATAAGCTTATTTATTTTACGTCATCACTCTGCCCATTGGAGCCTTGGATATTGAGTGTTTTCCAGCCAAAATTAGGTGGGCCACTGTGAAATAAGAATTTGCTTAAATTAAGTCTGAACCCTGGAACATTCCAAAAAGTTTGTAGCTCTGTAAAGTCATTTCAAAAAAGGAAGGACAAAACCAATCCCATATTTCAGAGTGAATTTACCTTGTTTACATATAAGCAAAGGCCCAACTAAGCCGCTGGCAATATCTTTTGGTGCGTTAACATGGGAATGATAGATCCACGTTAAACAGGCTGGATCATCAGCAGTTGGGCCATGGGCCTCAGGAACCGTCCACGTGTAAGTATGGTTTCCTCCTGGTGGGACAGCATCATCTGCCTTATGATCTCCAGAGGACCTATCAGGATACAAGGCCCCTAGAAGAAAGGATCAATGACATCCTTCAGTCAAAGGTGAGTGTCACAAGAAATCTAATGGTCAATTCCTCCATCCCTTGATGTATATTACTTTATACTATTAACTGTAGGATAGTCTGCACAAGGCCCAAGCACAGTTAAATTTGTCATTAGCCTTTTTTGAGTTTCCCCTTTGCCAACGTAACATCCTTCAAACATACTCAGTTTGCCACACAATGTTCCCAGTTGGTGACTGGACTTTCTGGAAGTTGGGGTCCTAGAAATATCTGTACAAAAGACTGATCTGGAGTTTTCAGCTGTTCTGTTCTGAATGGGGTTGCCCCATCTGATGCTTTCTGACAAACTTTCCCCCAAATTTCCAGGGGTCCTTGCTGGATATTGCCAAGTGCTCTCTCTCTTCAGCAGGGTGGCTTGAGTTTTTCGGTCATCTGTCACTTGCAAGTTTTCTCTCCTATGAACACCTGAAAGCTTGCAAGGTTGTTTACCTTCTGAATCCTTTGTGTAGAAGACACCATGGGGGTGAATGCTGAATGGGTGGCTGGCAAAATTTTTCAGGTGCACAGTAATGGTGTCTCCCACTTCACCTCGTATGACGGGCCCAAGGAATCCCAGCCAGGCAGGCTTGGATATCTCTAATGTGTATGTAGAATCAGAGTATTGCTTGTACATTGATTTCCTGTAAATCCCACCTATCCTGTCCTTGGCAGGTTGGAGGAAACTGGAAGCTACACTAGAAAAGAAAAGACAAAAGTTGAGACAACATTGGTAGCGATTTCCACCTAAACTCACTCCAGCGTTTAATCTCTGGTTGGATGCTAAAAGTCCCTTTGAAAGTTTCTTATGCTATTTGTATGATGGCTGGTTCCTTTTAACAAAGGCAGAAAGACTGAAAGCAATATACCATGGAATATTCCCTCTGATGCAAAATTTGATGAACCTGGCTGGCATATAGACAACACTGATTAGCACATGTGAAAATGCTTTCCAATATGGTCCCTTGAGAATCACTGTTGCCCTTTAGCTAGAAGTCTAACAAACAAACAAATGGGATGGCAGGAGAGACAAGAAAAGTGTTTCTTCACTCAGAGTGTAGCTGGTTTACATAACTTATCGCTACATGGTATGGAAGTGCTTGGATTTGGAGTTTGGAGGGAACCAACCGGAGGGGGTTCAGATAGATTCATCAAGGATGGGTCAATCGATAACGATGTCAATCCTGTTTCTAGAATCCAAGTTCCTCTTTAAGGTCATCACTAATGAATGACCAGAAAGAGAGACTTGGGTTCTACAGTAGATACAGGATTTCTCTATACAAAAATAAAGCAGGAACGAGAGGAAGGATGGAGTGGGTAGGTAGAGAGATCTTGTGCCCACCTGGAGAACTTCTAGAGAATTTAATCTCATCTGTCATCATGGGAAACTGAACCTAGCAAGACTTGTCCCTAGATAAAAATGTGTTGGCTCAGCCATCAGGATGATCAAAAAGGCCTGTCAGGGTTCCAGGTAATAGACCCATATCGAGCAAAACTCCGAGGCAGGCAGATTCCTCAAATAATAGCTTTGTTGGGTGTATCATATTGGCACAGATCTGGTGAAAACTGACTCTGAAGGTTCCCGCATTTTTCACCTAATTAAAAAGTAAAAGTTTGTCACTTTCTCAAAACAGTCACATGGTCCAATCACGATTCTGTCAGGTTGCCTGGTGACATCACTCCGTCTTCCTCTGACCAGATGTGAAAATGTCCTTGGTTCCCAAGAAAAAGTATTTTGTTTTGGCTACAAAATCCCAGCTATCTAAAATCCACCCTCCCTATCCCTCAGCTCCAGTGTTTATCAGGCACTTAGTAGAGTATATCCAGGGGTGGGATTCTACTGGTTCTGTCTGGCTCTGTAGAACCGGTAGCTCTGAAGAGCAGCAGACATAGAACCGGTTCTATGTCTGCTGCTGTTTTGGCCCACCTGCCCACCCAGGCTCTTACCTGACCTTTATTTCCTGCTTTTTCAACCTCAGCTGCCGTGCTAGGCACAGCTGCGGTTGAAAAAGCAAGAAAACAGTGCTTTGTCAAATGCTGCTTCCCTGCACACAGCGCTGCTCAGCTGTCCAGGCAGCAAGCTGAGGAAGATTTACACGCACGCGCAGCATGCAGGGAAGCACATTGTAAATCACCGAACCGGTAGTTAACCCTGTCGGATCGCACCCCTGTGTATATCATATGGGTAGTGGCTAAATTTGACTGAAAGCCTCACAAGTTGTTCCAGCAGAGAATTAGAAAACACTTTTCAAACCAAGGCCCACCAAACTCTTTGACTTAAATGCTACCCTAGCAACATTCTAGAGAGCAGGTGGGCTGGGGTAAGATGTGGACTGATAAGACCATAACAAAAACTAACCATGACTTGGACATGATCAGTTCATTTAAAATAAGAGAATTAAATACAATTTGAATGTTTGTTCTCTGTTTACGGGATCATTATTCCCTGGTGTCATATGAACATTTACAGTTCACCAGCAGCATGATGGAGCTCAAAGAACTGTCCATGATCCACAAGCGACAGAACACAGAGGTCTGATCCCTGCTTAGTCACTTCCGGCTCCAACAGCTGGAAATACTGGTGGAAAAGCTGTTCTGCTGCAGCACAGAACTATACAACCTCACCTATCATTAGGCATTTTATCAATCTCCCCAGCTAGAGATCTAAGTCCAGGTTGGTAAGGGGTGGACTTTGAGTTTCTATCTGCAATGAAGCAGGAATCTCCCAACAATCAGTAAGATTTCAAACCATAGCCACCGTTGAGCATTTGGGGCTGAATAGTTTGAATATAAGTCCACCCCCAGAGAATTTTAAAGGTTAATATTCAATTAAGACCACACGTTTTTCTTTTGAGGTTGATGGATAAATAGCTGGACAAAAATCATGGAAGTTTGTTTTTACACAGTGAGATATCTATATGCACAAAAATGGAAAAATTCAGCACCACCCATGATGGAGGGATGGATGGTAAAGATGATGGTACTTGTTGATGATGGCCAAAATGACTTCTTTGATCAGAGAAAAGACAATATCTGTGTTTATTGCTGAATGGAAACCCCTTGCAGACGTTTTGTGTGAAACAGAAAAATTGAACTTATGATGTATGGTTTGAATGATTAGACAGAATAGAGAGAAGCGAGCTATGCTATCACCATAGAACAAGAGATTAATTTATAATTGTACTTAGAATTGCTGTAAAGAAGATCAGTAGCCACTTCTTTGTTTGTTTCTTTTCCTTTCTATTCTATTTTCTTTTACTTCCCCCCTCTTTTTAGCTTTCTCTTTGATTTATTTCTCCCCCCCTTATATTAGTTTCTACTAGTTTTTAATCTTCTTTTTAAAAAACCTTTAATAAAATGATAGGCATATAAAGAATATAACCCAGCTTCATCAATATAGTGCAGCTTTACCTCAGTTCTACAGGCCTTCTCATGAGGCCTCTCCAACTGTTCCTCCAGCTCCTTCACATATAAGGTACAGAGGAGCATTTCTTTTGCAATTCTGCCCCCACTACCAACCAACTTCACGGGAAATAACTGAATTTCTTTTTAAAGTAACTGAAAGCCAAATTCTTTAAAAGAAGCAGCTGATGGGAGCTTCAGGTCAAGTTGCAATCATGGTACCAAGGAAAGGAAATGGAGCCGTTCCCTTAAAGCTTCCATTGGGTTGTTAACTGAACTAAATGAGGAAATCTCCCTGTTCCCAACAGGCCCATAGACACACACACACAAGGCAGATGCTTTGACCTAAGCACAACGGTCAAGAAAATGTCACCATAGAAAGCACAAAACAGCCTCATCATAAATTCAATGGTGTCACAGCAAATTTGGCTCCAAATCTTATCTGTAAAACTAAGTAATCAAAATGTTACAGTGGTAGACTCAAAGAATTAGCCACCTGCTGACAGATATGCCTTTGAGACTTCTAAAATACCATTTAGAGTTCCCAAAATTAAATCCTTAAAGTATGCATCAAAATATCCCAAATCTCATGAAAATTATGAGTAATATTGCCTGAAATCCTGGGTGTGAAATGGCTGAAAATTGTGAAAATTAGAAATCCTCCAAAATTTCAATTGAATTGTATTATTTTCCCTTGGCGAGGGTGGAATCTGCCCTCTGAAAAGGTGATAGCTACTTTCAGGAATGGGAAACTCTGTGAGAACTTTTGAACGTTTTTCTCCGATAATGAACAAACATTTTGTACATTATAAATATTGTAGCGTGGAAATTCTCCCATTTCTTAATAGGTCCGCCATCGCATCTCACAAGTTGTGATACACGAAGCACATTTCAGCACAAACCCCGCAGTACATTTGCGTACGCAATTCGGAAATGATTTGATGTGCCCAGGTTATGCTGGCTTGTGGAGATGAAGAAACTGGGACTCACGAGTCATTTGCAATGCTTTGTCCAGTGATTGCATTCTTTCCCAGCGGAGCATAGTTCCACTCCCCACTGCGGATCCCCACGTAGTAGACTCTGGTAGCTCCGTCCGACAGAAGAAGCAGCGAAAGGAAATGCAGGCAAAGGACAGACAACCATATTTGCTGGCAGGAGCACATCGAAGCGAAACGCTGAAAGTTCCTCCACGCCTTGGGATCTGAAAAAAAGGGATGAAATAGAAACCTAGGACAACATAGAATAGCAGAGTTGGAAGGGACCTTGGAGGTCTTCTAGTCCAACCCACTGCTCAAGCAGGAGACCCTAGACCAGTGGTCCCCAACCTTTTTTATGCTGCGGCCTGGTACCGGCATCAGCTGGGCACCGCGGCCCGGTACCGGCATCAGCTGGGTACCGCCATCTTGTTTTGATGAAAAAGTGCTTCCGGTGAGCTTTCTACCCAGAAAAGCTCACCGGAAGCACTTTTTCATCAAAACAAGATGGCGGTGCCCAGCAAACCAGCGGCCCGGTAGGATTTGTTCCACGGACCGGTACCGGTCCGCGGACCGGTGGTTGGGGACCCCTGCCCTAGACCATTTCAGACCTAGGGTTGTCCAGTCTTGTCTTGAAAGCTTCCACTGATGGAGCACCCACTTCTGAAGGCAACTTCTGTTACACTGTTTGATTGTCCTGACAAGAAGTTCCTGCTTAGTTCTAGGTTGTTTCTCTCCTGTGCTGGTGGAGAATTCTGGTGGGAGTAGAAGTCCATGCATCTTAAAGCTGTTGAGGTTGAGAAACACTGCACTACAAGGTTCTCAATCTGCAAGCATATTCCAAGTGGGGAAACTCAGATAGGCTTTGGGTCATGGGCTGGATCCGTGGATTCTTTCAATGGAAACAGAGTGCTACAGAGCCAAGGTTTGTTTGCCTGGTGGGTCTAATGATAGGTTTTCAAAATTTACAGCTAGATTAATACCAGACTTTCATGCCCTTTCCTCCGCAGCTCCCACGGTGTTTAAAACGCCTGACCCCATGTGTGGCAATGTGTACTTAGCTGGAGCCCTGCAGAAGGTCCTGAGCGATTCTGCTGACTTGATCGAAACTGGTTCCCTTCATAAAGTTCTCTTATCGTGGCTGATTCATCAGTCAATAATGGGACACCAGGAAAAACAGGCCAGGATTCCAGCTTCTCTCTCTCTCTCTCTCTTGCTTTCCTTGCATTAACAGGCTTAAACCTTTACAGGCAGCCCTTGGCTTACGACCACAACTGTCCCCGAAATTTCTGTTGCTAAGCGAGACATCTGTCAAGTGAGTTTTGCCTCATTTTACAACCTTTCTTGCCACAGTTGTTAAGTGACTCACTGCAATCACTGTTAGGTTAACAACAAGTTGTTAAGAGAATCTGCCTGACCCCAAAAGGATACTGCAACCGTCGTAAATATGAGCCAGTTGCCAAGCATCTGAATTTGGATGGGGATGCTAGAACAGCCATTAAGTGTGAACAGTCATAAGTGACTTTTTAAAGTGCCATTGTAACCTTGAACGGTCATTAAACGGGTGGTTGTAAGTCGAGGATTACCTGTTCACTGTTCTGATTTAATGTCACCCAGTAGGATTAATAGGCCGAAATCTCCTCTTTCGCCCCATGCAGTTATCTCTGTAAAAGTGAGGTGCAGGCTGAGCACTTGTGCTCTTTTTATACCATCCTTTCTATAGAAATCTGCGAAACTCTACTTCTGTTGGGAAGCTCGTCAGGAAGAAATTGGGTGAGTTATTTACTAACAGGCCATAATTCAAATAGATATCCTGCAACTTAGCTACATTTTGCATCATCTTCTTGTAGTCCACACACCAGCTGCTGCTAAAAGTAAACTGCTGTGCTCCGGTTTGATAGTGACTTGTATTTTTTAGGATTGAATAGATAAGCCTTGTCTAGGGAGGATTGTCTTTATGAGAGATTCTTTTGCAGGTTTGCAAGTAATTTGACTTTGTTGATCTGCTGACTGTAACGCTGTTTGTTTCCATTTCTTTTTAGTAGCCTGCGGTTGAGATCTCTACAAATTACAAAACTAATTCAAACGTTTCCTGCTTACAAATTCCAACGGATGGAATCCATGCGCACCATGGTTTCCCCAAAACTCCCTTTTCATTGGAAACAATTGGAAAGCTTCCGGGAAAGTTTAGGCCCCTTTGCAGCCAAAACCTTTCTTGAGAGTTTGCCATTCCATTGACATGTCCGTTTGCATTTAGAACCGCAGCCTTGGTAACAACGTTCCTTTTAGTGAACCAAAAGGGTTTGCCATTAAGTTAAAAGACGGTTCCCTTACCTTGACAAAGAAGAGAGAGGCTCAGAAGCAGAAGCCACGAGAAAGAGCGAAGAGGTGCTCCAGAAGCATTTCCTTCCAGCACCTGAAGTCCCAATGAAATCTTCTGAGAATGAAGGAAGACCAGAGGTGCAAAGTCTCACTCGTAAACCTGCGGCTGACTGTGGGCCTTTCTGCAAGGAATTTCCGGGAATGGACTAAGCAGGGTGCACGCGTTTATTTGCCTTGCATCTCTTTCATTTTTAGTTTAAATAACAAGGACAACCTTGTTATTTCACTCAGATGGCAGACTAATTTATGATGGGAGGAGTCGGGGGATATTATAGCAATAAAACTTAGCTTTGTGATAAAAAAAGGCGGAAATGACTAAGATAGCGAGACTAAACCTGATACTTTCAAGAGGCTCTTTGGCACTCTGAATTTGGTAAAACACAACACCCAAAAGATTATGAGCCATGGCGGTGCAGTTGTTAGCATGCAGTGCTGCAGGCTAGTTCTGCTCACGGCCAGCTGCTTGCAGTTTGGCAGTTCGAGTCTTACTGGCTCAAGATTGTCTCAGCTTTCCATCCTTCCGAGGTCAGTAAAATGAGGACGTAGATTGTTGGGGGCAATAGGCTGACTCTCTAAAACCGCTTAGAGAGGGCTGTAAAGTGGTATCTAAGTCTAAGTGCTACTGCTATTAAATTCAGCAGTGATAGTACAATAAAAATTATAACACAGATAAAAGCTAAAGAAATAAGAAGACCCATACCATGTTAATATAGAACTAGCTCAATGTATTGTTAAATCTAAATCATATGGAAACAGATGTCCCTCTTCTCATGCTTACAATAGAAAGACGTTTCAAAATTGATTTACAGAAATAAATCTGTTTTTAACAACAGGTGTGTACTTTCTTACCTGTATAGGAGTACTCTTAATTAGCACTATTCATATGTTTTAAGCATTCATTTAAAACTGAAAAAGTAGAGGGGGCAGAAGAACTGCCTTGCATGTGTATCCAATGAGACATCAAGATTTTTCTGCTGTATGAATCGAACTGGGTGTGCATTTTTCCCTCTATTTTCCTGAGTCAGAGAAATGATTCTCAAAGGTCATTTCTGGACCTTTATTTTAGGGGAAAGATTAGTACAGGTCAGATCATGTGATCCTTCTATAGCTTTTTGGAAAGCTCGCAAGCAACCGGTGATCAGTGCACAGGCTGACTCTAATTAGGATTGAGCCTTTGGCAGGATCGGTTTCTAAATTGCCTCAGGATCTCTGGGTCCAGCAGAAACTTTTTTGAAGATTTGATTGCAGAACAGGACACTCTTTCTTGAGAGAAAATGTCACGTTTCTCAACCTTAGCAGGTGTAGACTTCAACTTCCATGCTGGCTGTGGAATTCTGGGAGTTGAAGTCCACACCTCTCAAAGTTGTCAAGAAATACAGGCTTAATCTGTCAGGATTCTGGCAGTTACTCCAATTAACTCCATTTCTTTGCACACCTATAGAGGCACACCTGGCCTGTAGACAGGCACACCTGGCCTGTAGAGTGGGAAGAAATTCTCAATACTTCCTAGCTATTTTTCTAAACTTATTTGCTGTACTGATCGAAGGAGCGAGCACAGATGCTCCCCATAGACGGGACACTCCTACAGTCCCCAACAGGTTTAGAAAACATATTCGCCATGCAAGGATATTTCTATAATGTATTTGCCGAGCAGCAAAAGGATCCATTGAATTTTTTTTTTTTTTTTTCATTTTAAATGTAAGATGTTCATGTAGTCTTAATTTAAAGAAGAAAGGCAGCCTCTGTGCTGGCTTCAGGATTTTCGCAGGCACTCTGGAGCTGATCTGGGTCAAATAGACCAGGCGGCCTAGATTTACCGCCAAAGCCCATATGAGCAACAGCCTATGTGATTCGTGTGACTGATTTTCTACTAAAGGTCTTTTGAGAAACAGGATCGTTTTTGGCAAAGATAGAAACTAGATGTCGAGATCCTAGAAAGAGTGCAGAGAAGAGTAACAAAGATGGCATGGGATCTGGAGGCTAAATGATTGAGAATGCTAGGCATGTAAGCGAAGGACTAGTATGACATGATAGCCATCTTCCAATATTTGAAGGGCAGTCATAGAGTAGAAGGGGCCAACTTATTCTCCAAAGCACCAATGGGCAGTACGAACAGTAATGGGTAGAAGTTTGTGAAAGAGAGATCCAATCTAGAACTAAGGAGAAATTTCCTGACTGTGAGAACAATTAATCAGTGGAATAACTTGCCTCCAGAAATTGTGGGCGCTCCTTCACTGGAGGTTCTTAAGAAGAGACTCAACAGCCATTTGTCTGAAAGGATACAGAAGGGGGGCTGGACTACGAGAAGACCTCCGGGGCCCCTTCCAACCGTATTATTCTAAGTTTCATCTTCCACCTCTTTTGCAAACCAAATTGAAGGGCCACATCAAGAGAGTTTTCATTTTGGCTGACCCAGTTACTGGTGCTGCTTTTGGTAAAGAGAACAAGCCTTTTAAGATAGGAAATTCCTGACGTCTGGAAGAAATGGAGAAAAACAGTTTTGTATAACATTTTCTGAGGCACTCAATAAGAACAACGAAGGAAAATAAAATGGAAGCAGTCATAAGTGTATATGTTTATCATAAATGTAAATAGAAACTTTACTTTCTATTTTGTTTAGCTTTGATTGAACTTAACATTATATAATTTTGGCATATTCCTTGAGAGAGGCAAATATTTGGGATTGACCTTTCAATATACAAACAAACCATTTTTAAAAAATCATTTTTTTCTAAACGAGGTCTCAGTTCTCACCAAGAATATGAAATTATATAATTTTAGCATCTTCCTTGGGAAAGTGAACGTTTGGGGATTGCAGGTCTTCGAATATAAAAATGCACCTTCAAAGATAACTTTTTTTCATTTCAGCTGCTGGTTCTGAGTTCAACTTACTTGAGGAAGAATATGAAAAATACAGAGGACGTGATTCACCCCTCCTTCAAGCAATGCCCCTAAATAATGCGGTTTCTAAGTCAGGCTCAGTTGTGGGGGGTCTTATATGGCAAGACTAAAGAAGGGGGCCTTCAGAGGAGATCTAAGAAAATGGGTCTTACAGCCTCCATTCATTGTTATTTGCATTCTCAAATAGGGCAAAGTGAATGGGACTTTCCTGAACTTTATACTCCCTGCTCTCCCCTAGATGGAATCTAATATTTGCCTTAGAATTTGCAGATTACTAATCAACTTGATAAAGAATGCAACGAACGCTCAACAAGCCTTAGTCATCGGCTCCTTAACACAGAGAAAATCCTCGCCTTGACTTTTGTGCCTTGGAAGGATCTGCTCCTTGGGATTTGGAGCTGTGGGTGCCACATGAACAGGGGGGGGGGGAGTGGGGGCATCATGGTGCAGTACTAAGCATTTTGAGAGAGCTTCTGGTGAGCCATGCCCAGGTGGGCTAGTTGGGCTTTGCTGGGGAAGCTGGGCGCCGGTGCCTCCAACCTTTACCTTAGGACAGGGGTGTCCAACCTTGGCAACTTTAAGCCTGGAGGACTTCAACTCCCAGAATTCCCCAGCCAGCAAAGCTGGCTGGGGAATTCTGGGAGTTGAAGTCCTCCAGGCTTAAAGTTGCCAAGGTTGGACACCCCTGCCTTAGGACTTAGGTCTGCAGGATAAGAGTCAAAGCAACTCAAGAAGGCAGCCACAATTGTTGCAGGCAAAGCTACGCTTGGATTTGAGGTGTGTTGCAACACCGGGAGTAAAAAACCAAATCGGCAGTTTTGATTCCTGCCCGTTGCGGCGCCAGCTTGACATTTTTGACCCTTCAAATGCAGCCGCCTCGGTCAGGTCAGAAACAGCCGGCCAAAGCTTCTTGCCCTGACCGGAGCCTTGGGGCCAGGGGAGGGGAAACCTCGGCTCCAAATCCCAGTTCCGTGAACCTTTACGGAGGTCATGGAAAGCGGAGGACTTCGTGTCCCAGCATGCTGCGCCGGGAATTCAGTGGCCGAAGCTGAGAAATAAGCGCACCAACGTGCCTACCGTCCCTGTCCTATTGTTTCTCTTATTCTTCTTTTATTTTTCTTATATGTACCCATTTCATGTATTCACAACTATGTATACACTTATACTTATTATCTTGTAAACAATTGGCAAATCAAATAAATAAAATAAATAAATACCGGCTCGCTCTCGACATGCCGCCACAAAGACGGGGGGGAATTGGCCGGAGTGGCACCTGCAGCAGCAACCAGCCTCGTCTAAGGAAAGTTTTCCTCCAGTGGCCAGGCTGAAATTGGGACCTGGGGCCGCCCGGGAAAGCCAACCCGGGAGAACTTTAAACCACCCACCCCTCGGCCCTGCTCGTCCGCGTTTTTCCCGGCTGCTCCGCTTCAGAGGAGGAGGAAGAAGCAGCAAGCTGCGCTCCGAGGACGATGCTCCCCCGTTTGGGCCCGAGAAGCCGCGCGCTGCTTCGGTGTTGCAAGGCAGGCTCTGCCCCGTTTCAAGGCTCTTACAAGTGGCCGAAGCGGCGGCGGCGGAGGCTCAACCGGCGAGGCTGGGAGGGAAAGCCGCCGGGCGGCTCCTAACCATAAGAGTTAGGACTCTGGACCGGGCTGAATCCAAGAACCAGCCGGGAGATTGGCTCTTGGGCATCCCTTTCTGGGCGAGGAGAAGACTGCGACTGCCCAGGAGGGCTGCTGCGGGCCATCGCTGGAGGCACAGTCTCCGGTGGGCTTCCAGAATAACAGAGCTGGAAGGGACCTTGGAGGTCCTCTAGTCCAACCCCTTTGCTCAAAAGCAGGAGACCTTCCTTAAGAGCATTTCGGACCCCAGGGCCGGTCAAGTCTCTTCTTGGAAACCTCCGGAGACGAATCAGCCACCAACTTCGGAGGCAGCTGGTCTATTGATGAAGCAGCGTCCCCGCCGTCAGGAAACGCCTCCTCCCTTAAGTCCCGCTTCTCTCCTGGATCCGTTTCCATCCCCGGAGTCTCCTGTTGCCTTTCGGCGCCTTGGAGAAGAGGCGGAACCCCCGCCCCCCCCCGCTTCTTCGCCCCCCCCCCTCCCGGCCCAGCGGCGCCCCATCCCGCCCCCCCCCCCCCCCGTCCCTCTTTTCCTCGCTCCTGCAACCCGGCCGCGTTCAGGCGTTTCAGCCGGCAAAGCCCCCCCACCTCCCCGTTGCTGCTCTTCTAGGCGCTCTTTGCAGAGCCTCTCAGCCTCTTTTTGTACTGCGGGGGGACGGGGGGACCGGGACTGGCTGCAGGGTCCTAAGTGGGGGGTCTTACCAAGCCCCCGCCCGCCTTCAAGAGGGAGCAATCCGCGGCGGGGCTTTCTTCGAGGGGCCGCTTCCCGGCGCGAAAGCCCGGAGAGCAAGCAGCGGGGCCAAACTCCTTTCCAAGACTTCTGCAGCCCGCGGCGCGTCTGCTTCCAGCCGCCCGGATCCCGCAGCCAAGCGGCTTCCGAGCCAGACTCACCCGGCCGAAAAGCAACACGGGGGAGCCGCGGGCAGAGGCCGGACCGCACCGACGCCGAGCGGATTCTCCCGCGCCTCTTTTCGGAGTCTTACGGCGGGCGCGCGGGGGGTGGGTGGGAGGGCACGCCTCCCCCGCCCACCCCCAGTTTCCAGAGGACCGAGGCAAATCAGGCGGCCGCCCTGCGAGGAGGCGGGCTCAGCTGGGGGAACCGCCAATGAAAGGGCGAGCCGGGACCTGTCTTTCTCCCCTCCCGTCGCGCCGTCTTTTGACGCCCTTCCGGCATCGCGGGTCGGGCATGAAGAAAGCAGCGGCGGTTGCGCTGGTGGGCGCGGGCCCGGCTTCGCCCGGCGCCTCCTCCTCCTCCTCTTCCTCCTCCGTGCCCGGCTTCCTGGCCAAGCTTTGGACCCTGGTCGAGGACCCCGGGAGCGACGACGTAATCTCGTGGAGCCGGGTGAGGGCCGAGGACGCATGCGCAGAGGCCAGGGGTCGCTGCTCGCCGTCGGGGCTGCAGCCAGGAAGGGGGGGGGGGCGAGGCCCTGCAGGCCCGGAAAAGCCCCCTGGAGGCGCCTCTGGCGGCCATCGGAGGACGAGGCGCCCCTCGTCTCCTCAAGCCTGGCCCGGGGAAGGGGGAGACTCGCAGCTCCGGGTTGAAGGGAGAAGCCCGCGGCGCGCTCGGCTGCCTTCTCGCGGCCGCCTCGTTGCCCAAGGCAGGCGGCAGCATCGCCGGGGCCAGGAAGGGGCGCGCGGGGGCGGGGGGTGGGTTGCTCTCACAACTGCCGCCGTCGGAAGGGAGAGCGACCCCCCCCCCCGCCTTCCTGGCCCCGGCGATACTGCCGCCTGCCTTGGGCCACGACCAACCTTGGCAACTTTAAACCTGGAGGACTTCAACTCCCAGAATTTAAGCCTAAGGACTTCATTGTGGAAATAAAGCATGCATGAAAATAAAGAGGTGTCAATGTTTGTTGTCTCCACAGCCATCCATATCTGCAAGTACAAATGGGGAGGGCTTTGGCTGTGGCTCCAAACCTGCCATCTTGGGAAACGTTGACCATGCTTGTTAAATGCTGCTGGTTGAGCCCCTCACTGAATATATTTGTAGTCAGATGTACGATACATGTTACTGTATCACTCAAGGTGTATTAGTTGGGACCCTAACTGGGATATATTCCTGTATACATGATGATATCTTCTTGGCAGAGAACTTGTAGCAAATGTACAATGCATCCAGGAGTATGAATCTGAAAATCAGGGCAATAAAAGTCGAGATGGTCCCGCTTGACAGAAAAAATGGAGCTGTATCAGAGCAAGTAGATAACTTTACAGCCAGTCCTCATTTAGTGATTGTGGTGTAGGTGGTCACAGGGAAGGAACATGCAGTTTTGTTGTGAGGAAGGAATGCTAATCTAAAGAAGTGACGTGTACAAGGCTGTATTCCACTTTGTTCTCCAGGACGGAGAGTTTTATATATTGGGAGAAGCAGAAAAGGAAGTTGAATGTGGGGAACTTAAAAATAATGGGGTCAAGAATAAAGGGGTGCTAAATGAATGTGAATCGAGTGCAGAAGGGAATTTTTATTATGAAATGGTTTCTTCTAACTATTTTCAGCCTTTGAAAAGCCACAGGCTGTTTATCTCTATGGAGATTCCCAGTCATCCAGGTCATGGTTGCCCCCAAGGTGTTTTTTCAAGAAGCAACTGGACTTCTCATCCAAGAAGCTTCTTCAGCTCTTCAGACGCCTCTTGGATGAGAAGTGAAACATCTTCAAAGAAAACAAGAAAGTCCAGTTGTCTCTTGAAAAAGCACCTTTTAGGACACAGGCTGTTTAGTAGATGGAAAACAGGATTGTGTAGTTTCCAAAATGGGACACTATGACTTTGAAGTGTTGTCTTGCCTTTCTCCTCTCCCCCCTTTAATTCAGGCAGTGCCTTACTGGGTTAGTATTTTGTTTACAAATGAATGCAGGCATGCAAATACATGTTATCAAAGTAATTATGTCTGCAAAATTAGTTGGAACCAGCTAAAACCTTCCAGTTGAAATCCCATTTTCCTGTGTTCATGTAGTTACAGTGCTGCAGGCAACTTTCTCGGGGATTATCTAGGATTCTGAACCACAAAAATGTTTTTCATTAATGTTCTGAGGCTTTATAATATTTCTATAAGGGAACTCTAAGAATGGACAGGTTGGTATTCACTCTCAAGGTAGGATTTGCTAAGAATACTTCTGGGCTGAGCATTGCACGTGGATCTGGATTAGTCTTCCTGCGAAAAACTTGATTATATCTCTGCCAGTGTCACTTTTAATGCTGTTTGTAACATGTCAGAGAAAGAGGCCCACTTGCCTTTTGTGAATCTGATGTATGAGCAATTCCCGTATCAGGTTTATTTCATGAATGTCCTGCTTCATGGGCCAATTCATAACTGCAAGGGCTCTTTCACTCCTGGTCATGTGGCTTCAAGAGCTGCCATATTTATTTGAACTATTTTGCCAGGTCATGGTTTTGCTTTGAAGGCAAATAGGGTTTGACAAATAGAAGATTAGGGGTGCGTGTATGTGGCTCCCAAGAATTCCTGGGCCAAGGAATAAGCAGCTGAGGGTGCAAATGCAGATCGGTTGGATCCGGGGGGAGGTGCTAGAGGCGGGGCCGGGGGGGGGGGGTGGGGTTCCCACCTTTCAAGGTTCAACTCAGAATCTAGAACTAATAGATTGTCAAGTCACAGCGTAGGTTCTTGCTAGGCAGAACAGCTTGCAAATTGAAATGTTAGGTCTCTTTTTTTACTAGCTTTTTTTGATAGCTAGAGATGGATTGCTCTGCCATCGTTCTCTGGTTGCATTGGTGGATTCTCTTTAGTTAAGAGATGGAAGTCGCATCTCGCCCAGTCTGTTCAATGCACCACCAATATATGCCACGGGGTGAGGTGCACTTAAATAATACACGGTGTGATGCCACTGAGTAGTAGATCTTGACATCTTTAGTTACTTTTTCTTACTGTACTTGTTTTTTTCCCTTAACTTTTCTAGAATGGACAAAATTTTTGCATTCTGGATGAACAGAGATTTGCTAAAGAATTGCTTCCTAAGTACTTCAAACACAACAATTTGTCTAGCTTCATACGACAGCTCAACATCTGTAAGTATCAGGTTCTGCCTACACTTTTGTTGTTTTCGGCACCCAGTGTCCATTAAAATGAAAAAAAAAAATAACCTCCTCCTCTACCTAAACTGTCAAAAAATAAACATAACAAATTATTTTAATATTTAACAACCTAACTGATTTATGCAAATTTATGTACCATACAACAGCTATAAAGCAGTATGTGCATTTTTAAAAAATTGCATTTGGGTTATGAAGGAGCAGCTTCCTCTGAAAGGTTCTGCAGCTGCTTTAAAAGAGGCCCCAGGAGGTCTTGCTCATGTAGGCCACACGCTGTTGTTCGCTATGCTGGGAGGCAGCAGAAACACCACCTACACGTAGCTATGCCAGCTCCATAACCACGTCCATACATTAGGGGATGGCCTTTGAAGTAGCTGCAGGAGCCTTGCAGAGGATGTAACTGCATTCAAGTTTTGGGGGAATGTATAGTACTGGCAGACTTCAAAATTCCCCTTTCAGAAAGTTTGCATAGCTCTTGTTACCCAGTTCATATACACTTTCGTAGCTGTAGGAAGTAAACTTCAGGGCAGAGTAGCTACATGGAGTTAGCAACGCTTAACCGCACCCTGTTGTAGTAAGTGCTCATTCTAAGGTGTGTCCATTTGGAGTTATGTGTGGCATGTCCGACATAGGTATGCTGTGGTGGTGCAGTGGTGAGCATGCAGTAGTGCATGCTACATCTGCTGACTGCCAACTGCCTGCAGTTTGGCAGTTTGAGTCTCACCGGCTCACGGTAAACAGCTTAGAGAGGGCTGTAAAGCACCTTGAAGCGGTATATAAGTCTAAATGCTATCGCTATTGCTATTGCTATGCAAGGAAAAGTGCAGTGTGTTCCAGGGCAGATGTACCTTTAGCAACGTTGCATTTCAGAAGCTTGGCTTGAAATACCTGCTTGGCTGTGGAGTTCATCGTGCAGTTTTGGGTCACTTATTCTGTTATGGTACGACAGAAAAGTACAAAGTCCCATATGTCAGTCATCTTGAGGTCTCAGAGATAAGGGAGAATAAATAATTGACCAGCAGATTCTTGACAAGAGACTGGTATAAAACCTCCAGCCCCAAAGAGACAGCAAAAGAACGTAGGAGACCTTCAGTTGGTGGTGACGTATCTTTCAAAAGACAGAGGAAACCCTGAAAGAGAATCCAATGGGCCTTGCTCACTCTCAGTAACCGGAGAGGGCCATCTTTGGTTTGGGGCTTGATGTTATTAGTGCAGTGTGCTGATCACACTCAGCTTTCCATCCTGTGGCAGAACAAGATGCTCTGGAAGTCCTGGAGATTGTGAAGGACTGGTTGGAGTGGAGCAGACTTCGACGGAGTTGTTGTTGCTGTGAGTTTCCTTGGGCTCCACGGAGGCTCTGAGAAGGAGCAGGTTTGCAATCTGGGGGTCCTTCTTGGATCTGGGGCTCCAGCTAGAGAGACAAGTGGAAGCTGTGGGCAGGCTTGGCTGGTATGCCAGCCGCCTCCTTCCTTTCCTGGATCAGGAGAGTGTGAAGACAGTGACTCAGGAATAGCAATTCATACCTTGTAAACACATGGTAGCCATACTGAAACTAGGCTCAATAGCAGTGACTGTGAGAGGGATCTTGGAGTCTTAGTGGACAACCAGCTAAATATGAGGCAACAGTGTGCGGCAGCCGCCAAAAAAGCCGATGCAATCCTAAGTTGCATTAACAGAGGGATACAATCAAGATCAAGTGAAGTACTAATACCACTCTATAAAGCCTTAGTAAAATCTCACCTAGAGTACCACGTCCAGTTTTGGTCACCACACTTTAAAAAAGATTTTGAGACTCTGGAAAGATTGCAGAGAAGAGCAACCAGGATGATTAGGGACTGGAGGCTAAAACATACGATGAACGGTTGCAAGAATAGGTTAAATTTTGAGTGATTTTCTAATAATAAACGAATTAAAATGCACATGGCTAGTCTAGTG